TCAATTCCTCGTTTTTCAAAAAATGTCTGTTCCTTCTCTAAAAAACAATAATAATCCCACAAAGTTTCAAGTTCGTGTACCGAACAGTTTCCTTTTAAAAAATCTTCAAAGATCACCTTGTTTCTAATTCATAGTAGCAAAAGCTCCTAAGCAAACAGCCATTTACCATTTCCCTCATATTTGCGGCCCCGGGCTGTCCATGAATCTGTCCCAGGGCCACCAGTTGTCTTAGTCGATTATGCTCGTCCAAGATAGCCTGCTTCTCCTCGCAAGATAAGCCGCCGGATCCTGGAAAACGATTCCCGGCTTAGATCTCGCTGGATATTTCACGAAAATTTCTACATTCGCCGAGGGGGTGAGTCAAGGGAGGTCGGGGTACGGTTGGAAGCTCGATAATTCAGTTACGATTGGTTGGCTGGAACGGAGTTTCAAGTTGGAAAATATTTCTCGGCTAAGTGATTTTATTCCTGATAGAGGGTAACTACACTCCAACCCCCTCCAGCCCCTTATACGGTATAATTCCGTTAGGATTCGACAATCGTGGAAACTTTTTTTGTTAATTGTGAGTCTGAATTAGAACTGGGATAAGTGTGACATTAATTATTGATGATTATCAGTGTTGATCATTGTAATTTGATTGTAGGTTGGGTCTGAGTTAGGTTGAAAGTTAATTATTAGTAATTATCAGTGTTGATAATTGTAATTTGATTGTAGGTTGGCTCTGAATTAGGTTGAAAGTTAATTATTAGTAATTATCAGTGTTGGTAATAGTAATATTAGTCTAGGTGAAGTCTAGACTAGATGTAAAATTAATTATTATTAATCGTCATTATCAATAATTTTAATATTAGTCTGGGTGAGGTCTTCGTTAGGTCCAAAATTAGTTATTATTAATTATCAGTATCAACAATTATAACACTAACCTAGATAACGTCTTAGATCCACAATTATTCATTATTAATTACCAGCACCAGTAATTCTAATAGTCTATATAACATCAGCTCAAAAATTACAAACTACCCATATCAGTAATCATAATATTAATCTACGTTAACTCTTCAGGTCCGAAATCAATTATCAATTACCCACACAAACATTTATAATACTCATTACATAACACAATAAATAACCACAATACAGTCTAGTACAGACTCAACACAAATCATTCCCTAATTACCCATATCATCAACTATAATATTAATTCACGTTAGCTCTGCATTAATCACAAAAAAATCATGTCCTTTTTATTATACAGCCGGACAGTCCTATAATTCGCGACAGCCAGAATCGAATGTCCATCGTCGACGAAAGTGTCTCCATCTTCTCCGCCACCCCATTTTCTCGCGTTCCACCCTCTCCTCCACTGTTCAGCCCAACCGACGTTCGTCTGGCTTTCATCCGTTTCCCCGGGCCTCCAGATTGCCCAACTCGCCGGAAAACTTTCCTGGAATCTGCTCTAACGACGTTCCCTCTGTCTTTCCGGGAGGGGAAACTTTAGTTCCACCGTATTCTTTCCCCTTAATAACTTTTCGTTCGTACGACGAAAACGAGGTTCCGGCTGTTCGCCTCCTTCTGCTTCTATACTCTCGCTCGTCAACCCCACCAATCTTATGCAAATTTCCAGGCTGCCGGAGACTGGATCGGGAATCGAGTTTCCACTCACCCCCTCCGGCTGCCGACGATTCTTATTTCATGGGGGATGCTCTTTGTTTTCTTTTTTCTCTTCACGTTCTCGCGACAATTATTGCGATTCCGATTCTATTCGAGAATTTTCATTGTCTTCTCTGAGGCGATCGTGATGGTCGTGCAATGGTACGATCCGTTTTAATTGAGGGGATGAAGGTGTATGGTTAGTATTAACCCTTTGCACTCCGTAGACGCCTTTCAGTCGCCAATTGATTTGACACAGAAAAATTATAGAGTTTGACATTTAATATTAAACTTTGTACAGTGCATGGACGTGTGAAATATTAAAATAAAACAGCCTCTTTCTTTAATTTATGTACGATTTCTGGTTAAGTCAGTTTGAAAGAATGTCATTGGTATTTCATTAAAAAATGTTGAATATTTCTAATGAAAGACTTCTGGAGTGCAAAGGGTTAAAGGTGATAATAGTAATGAGATGGTTTTGTTTTATGGAGTGTTCTTTTTTTAGGGGGAATCATTGTGTTTTTATTCTGAGGTGATTTAGTGGAAAATTGAGTGCAGTTGATGATAGTAGTATGTTAGGTTTAATGTATGAATAGTAATTAATAATAATAGTAATGAGATGGTTTTGTTTTATGGAGTGTCCTTTTTTTTAGGGGGAATCATTGTGCTTCTATTCTGAGGTGATTTGGATTTAGTGGAAAATTGTAAAAGTATGAATAGTAATTAATGATAATAGTAATGAGATAACTTGTATTTTACGGGGAGATTCATTTTGTTTGTTGTTATGTTTTCGAGACAAAAATTGCGATTCTTTTATGGGAGAGAATGATTGTGTATTTATTCTGGGATGACATAAGTTGACGATGAATTAATGATAATGATGAAATATATAGTAACAACGGTAATGATGATTTCAGTGGACAAATTAAAGATATTTCCTGCCCAATTTTTTTTATCCTACGATTGAACTCCGACTGAAGTTTTTCGACTGAAGAATATATAATGGAGATGTCAGTTCTGGTTGCCAGTGGAACAGGTTTTTAATCATGTAATTCCTGTTCAAAATCGGGTATAATTTGAAATTTTAAATTTCTTCGTGTCAGTGAAAGTGACGCGCATTACAATATGTATCTTGATGAGCTTAAAAGACTGACAAAAAGTTAATGCGTCATAAAAAAATATTCAAATCGAACAGTTCTATATTTAATGGTTCTATAATTTTCATATTCACGTGGTGTTCCATTTTAAACACTATTCGCCATCATATAATTCTATTCTTCTAATTGCATTCTTTAGAAGTTCAATTTGTATGGTGATCCATATTCTACAAAACGTGACCTAAACTAAAAAATTATCCCGAAAACCTGCCCTAAAAACCCGACATCCAACGCGACGTTAAAACTGAAAGATACAAAGTACAAAAAGATTGAATGAACGTTAACCCTTTGCGACTCTGACCAATTGCTCGAACAATAGAAACACAAGAAACTATGTGTTCATCTCTTGCTGTTTGAATAATAAATTAATTTGAAAACGGATTAACCCTTTGAAGTCTGTAGGCTCTAATATTGCACCAGTCATAATAAAATATTTTAATGAATCTTAAAGAAACAACCCTAAAATTATTCGATTTTCACATCCAAATTTTGTACTAACAAGGAAAATAAAAGATCGAAGAAATATTATAGCATTCATTTTCGCTAGGAATACTATAAAAATTAGTTGCAGTTGCTAATAAATTACAAAACAACCAGGAGTGCTAAGGGTTAACTATGACTAAACAATCTTCGAAAAATTCAGTATCCGTCGAATTGACGTTCCGTAAATCTATCGTTAAACATTAAATTTCATCATTGTCATCTATCAAATCGTATACTGACTTAGAGGCGTCGTAGTGCAAAGGGTTAATTACACAAAACAGAAAGAAAACGAAGAAAAAGGATCCGATCAATTCAAAGACACGTTGTACGGTGAATGGCACGAGTGGCGCGCGATTTGAATCGGCGAAAGCCCACGCTGCCGTGCGGCGCACGGATTTCCCGTAATTAAACAACAGCTGCCGTTAATTCGCTGATCTAATCGAGTCCCGCGGCCGCGCATCCGACCGGGCCGGGCTATTTTTAGAGACGAATCGATCCTCCCCGGCGTCCTATCGAAATGTAATAGATTCCAATTTTCTCCCCGTAAATAATGTACGAACTGAATAATTCATGAGCACGGGACCGTGTGGTGGCAGTCGAACGAAAACCGGAGCAATAAACCTGTCCCTCCGTTTCGACTGTTTCCTCTTTCTTTTTCTTAAACACTATCGTCCACTAGGTTCTTTTTTTTTTGATTCGTTTTTTTCCTGTTTAATCGCGCGCGCTGCGTATACCTGCAGCGATGCGAGGTCGAAATTGACCACACGGTAGTTGGCAGTTCGTGGCAGCGAGTTCAGCGAGAAGTGGATTAAATTTGGTTATGTGGAGGAGTTGTAACAATGATAGTAAATTTAATTGTTGAATTTTTAATAATAATGAGGATTGTGTTAATAATGATTTCTGTTATTTGAGAGTCAATGATGGTGATACTGATACTATTAGTTGTGGAGGAGTTGTTACGATGATAGTAAATTTAATTATCGAATTTTTAATAATAATGACGATTGTATTAATAATGATTTCTGTTATTTGAGAGTCAATGATGGTGATAATGATACTATTAGTTGTGGAGGAGTTGTTACGATGATAGTAAATTTAATTATCGAATTTTTAATAATAATGACGATTGTATTAATAATGATTTCTGTTATTTGAGATTTAATGATGGTGATAGTGATATTAATATTAATAATGGTATCCGTTGTTGAACTTTCAATAATGATAATAATATTGTCGATGACTTTAATTATTATACCTTCCAAGATAATAATAATATTAACAATAAATTCTATTGTTTTCAATAATGATGGTAATAATAATAATATCTTTTATTAGTCTATTATTAGTGTATTATTTAACATTGAATAATAATAATAATATTAACATCAATTTCCATTATTCAACAACCAAAAACAGTAACAACAATTCACATGCAAAAGTTAGAACAATATTTCAGATGTGTTTTGTTATTTACACTGAAGAAAACATAAAATATATGATTTATATCAGTAGCAAAGCATTAGTACGTAATTTAATATTAAATATTCTGGCGAACGACTAACCCTTAACGAAAGAGTTCAATATTCTTAATTAACTCTTAACAAGTTCCAACTGAAACAATGCAAACTAAACTCTTCTGAGATTCAATGAAAGCTACACTGTTTTATATTTTATGGTAAATTCGGCATTTTGAATTTTACAATTATCACCCGGTCGATTCTTTTATCCCGGATCGATGAAGATTTCATTTGAGAATCGACTCGATCGCGCAAAAACTGCGTTTCGCATTCAAAAAACAGCGAGCAGGCTCGAGAAAAAAATTATTTACTTGGAAAGTTTCGATCCGACGACACGTGGACGAGTTTCCAGATTTCGAGAAACGTCTCGGCTCGTCCCGGTTTTACAGTTAACGCCGAATGGTCACCGGCGCTATTTTTAATTGCCTATTCGTATAATTAAACACGAATTTAGCCAAGCTCACCGCGTCGGGGACGATTT